TTAGGATTAACTGTGACAGGCCAGACAAAGAATGATTCAAAGGATTCTTATGGACATAAATCAAGGAACTCAGTGTCCCTTGCCTGGCCGTGGGTTACCGGGGSCCCACCCTGGAGCCCGGYCTGGGGGAGGGGCTCATCGGCGAGCGCCTTGTGGCCAGGTCTCTACCCATGGGACCTGGYYGGGCTCAGCCCGAATGGGCTAGGGTTTGCCTTCCTGTGGGCCCACCACCTGCAGGAGTGGCYATACGAGTCGGGTGCATGATGSCATGGGCAGTAGCCAAAGGTGGAGACCTTGGCACTCTGACCCTGGCCTACCAAAACTGGCTCTTGGGACATGGAATGTCACCTCTCTGGTGGGGAAGGAGCTTGAGCTTGTGTGTGAGGTTGAGAGGTACCGGCTAAATATAGTTGGGCTCACCTCAACGCACAGCATGGGCTCTGGAACCAATCTCTTCGAGAGGGGCTGGATTTTATTTTTTCTCTGGAGTTGCCCATGGTGAGAGGTGCCGAGCTGGTGTGGGTCTATTTTTGGCCCCCCGACTTGGTGCCTGTGTGTTGGAGTTKACCTCAGTAGATAAGAGGGCAGCTTCTCTGCACCTTCAGGTACGGGGACAGGCTCTGATGGTCATTGATGCTTAGGCACCAAATGATTGTTCAGAGTACCCAACTTCCTTGGGGTCCTTAGCGGGAGTGCTGGAAGGTGCTCCAGCTGGGGATTCCTTTATTCTGCTGGGGGACTTCCCATGTGAGTAATGACAGTGTGACCTGGAGAGGCGTGATTGGGAGGAACGGCCTCTCTGATCTGAACCTGAGCGGTGTTCTGTTATTGGACTTCTGTACTAGTCACAGTTTGTCCATCACAAACACCATGTTCGACCATWAGGGGGTGTCCATAAGTGCATGTGGCATCAGGACACCCTAGGTCGCAGATCAATGACTGACTTTGTAGTCGTGTCATCTGATCTACGGCTGCATGTTTTGAACACTCAGGTGAAGAGAGGAGCTGAGCTGTCAGCTGATCCCCACCAGGWAGTGAGTGAATCAGATGGCGGGGGAAAATGCTGGACAGACCCGGTAGACCCAAACGTGTAGTGAGGGTTTGCTGGGAATGCCTGGCAGAGGAACCTGTCAGACAGATCTTGAACTCACACCTCCAGGAGAACTTCAACCACATCCCAGCCGAGGCAGGGGATATTGAGTCTGAGTGGGCCATGTTCCGTGCCTCAATTGTTGAAGTGGCTGCCTTGAGCTGTGGCTGCAAGGTTGTCGKTGCTTCTCGCGATGGCCATCCTCGAACTCGGTGGTGGACACCCCGGGTAAGGGAGGCTGTCAAGCTGAAGAAGGAGTCCTATCTAGCCTTGTTGGCTGGTAGGACTCCGGAGGCAGCTGATGAGTATTGACAGGCCAAGCAAGCCACAGCCCTGGCCGTTGCTGAGGCAAAAGCTYRGATGTGGGAGGAGTTTGGTGAGGCCTTGGACAAAGACTCTCGATCGGCTCCGAGGGGATTCTRGCAAACTATCTGGCRGCTGAGGCGGGGGAAGCAGCACTTTACTAACACTGTGCTCAGTGAAGGTTGTCAGGAGGTGGAAGGAATAATTCTCAGACCTTTTCAAGCCCACCGGCACGTCTTCTATGGAGGAAGCAGAGTCTGAGGACTTTGGGGCTGGTCTGTCCATAACTGGAGCCGAGGTCACTGAGGTAGTTAAAAAGCTTCATGGCGGMAGGGTTCCAGGGGTGGATGAGATCCGCCCTGATGTCCTCAAGGTTCTGGATGTTGTGGGGCTGTCCTGGTTGACACACCTTTGCAACATCACATGGACATCGGGGGCAGTGCCACTGGATTGGCAGACTAGGGCGGTGGTTCTTCTCTTTAAAGAGAATTGCAGGGGCATCACTCTCCTTAGCCTCCCCGGTAAGGTCTTTTCAGGGGTACTGGAGAAGAGAGTCCGATCAATAGTTGAACCTCAAATTCTGGAGGAACAATGCAGATTCCGTCCTGGCTGTGAAACACTGGACCAACTCTTTACCCTCACTAGAATCCTCAAGGGGTCATAGGAGTTTKCTAATCCAGTCTACATGYGTTTTGTGGACTTGGAGAAGGYATTCAACCATGTTCCTYGAGGTACACTGTGGGGGGTGCTACGTRAGTATAGGATTGTGGGTCCGTTGTTACGGGCCATTCAGTCTCTGTACAAGCAGTGCAAGAGTTTGGTTCGCATTGCCAGTAGTAAGTCAGACCCTTTCAGAGTGGGAATTGGACTCCACCAGGGCTGCCCATTGTCACCAATTCTGTTCATWACTTACATGGACAGAATTTCTCGGTGCAGCCAGAGGGTGGAKGGAGTCCTGTTCTGTGGCCTCAGGATTTCATCTCTACTGTTTACAGATGATRTAGTTCTGTTGGCGTCATCGCGCCAKGATCTTCAGCTCTCACTAGAGCGGTTCACAGCAGAGTGTGAAGAGGCTGGGATGAGGATCARCACCTCCAAATCTGAGTCCATGGTCCTCAGTMAAAAAAGGGTGGRTTGCTCGCTCCGGGTTGAGGGTGAAGTTCTGCCTCAWTTGGAGGAGTTCAAGTATCTTGGGGTCTTGTTCACGAGTGAGGGAAGAATGGAGCATGAGATTGATAKACAGATTGATGCAGCTTCTGCAGCTTTGCGGACTCTGTACCGGTCTGTTGTGGTGAAGAGGGAGATGAGCTGTAAGGTAAATCTCTCTGTTTACCAAACAGTCTACATTCCTACCCTCATCTATGGTCACAAACTTTGGGTAGTGATCAAAAGAACAAGATCGTGGATACAAGTGRTCGAAATGAGTTTTCTCCGCAGGGTAGCTGTGGAGAAAGGAGGTGGTTCATCTAGTAWGGATGCCTCCTGGACGCCTCCCAAGGGAGGTGCTTCAGACATGTCAAACTAGGAGGAGACCCAAGGAAGACCCAGGACACGCTGGAGAGACTATGTCTCTAGGCTGGCCTGGGAAYGCCTTGGAGTCCTCCCAGAAGACTCGGAAGAGGTGGCTGGGGAAAGAGAGGTCTGGGCTTTCCTGCTCACGCTGCTGCCCCCGCAACCCGACTTCGGATAAAGCGGAAGATAATGGATGGATGGATGGATGGATGGATGAACTGTGACAAAGACAAAGCTGAAGAGGAAACTGCTGGATGTCTCTGCTCTGACAGATGTTTGTGTAGATCTTTGAACAAACTTAATGGACGTCTTTTAAGCTACTTCATGAAGTGATGAAGGTTTACATCATTTATGATCATCATAAATCAGCGTCCAGGAGGCATCCTTACTAGATGAACCACCTCCTTTCTCCACAGCTACCCTGCGGAGAAAACTCATTTCGACCACTTGTATCCACGATCATCATTTATTTATCATAAATGCTTTATTAACTACATTAACCTAAAGAGTGCGTATGTCCTTGATATGACAAAGTAAATCATTTAGTTTGTGCATATTCATCTCAATTTAACAGATATTAAAAGTCACCACCACATTGGTTTTGCTRTATATTTTCTTAAAGTTGATTTCTTAAAGTCGGTTTTTACATGTCTGAATGTGATCTAATTATATTTAGACAACATACAAAAAAATGTTGAAAAAAAAAGTAAAATCCAAGTATCTTCTTGTATCAAGACAAACTGTTCTACAGCTACAGGGTCACTAGAGGATCATTACAACAGAACTGTGTAACTTCCCTATGTAGAACCTCATTTGGTAAGACTACGTTTTCATGCAAAAGCACAACATTATGGAACTTATTGCCTCTGAAAATAAAAGCTACATTTGAATTTTAAAAATTCATCCACATGACTAAATCTTGGTTAAAGGAAAACCAAAGGTGTGATCATTTTTAGTATTTAGATTTAATGATGAGAACCGTCTGTGCAGGACTGTATGTGTTGGTGAGTTAGTGTAGTGATAATTTTTAGCGTGTGTTGGCTAATGAGGGAGGATGGAGAGGTACCTGAGGATGTGTATGGTTAATTTTAGAGGTTCTAAGGTTATTCGAACTGTTTGTTTTAGAATTCTTAACTTTTACGTATTTTAATGTTTTGTATGATTTTTTGATCATTTTTATTGCATGAATTTGTAAGTTGTATTGGTTGATTTTATGAATTTGTTGGCAGACATGCTTATATATTTTTTTGTGTATATGGATTCATAAACTGTATGTACTTTATTTGTGTAGAAATACCCAGCCAGGGACTGGAGTTGTAAATTAGCTGTAGCTATATACTCTTTGTGCAACGCATCAGTTACAGACTTGATCTGTTCTATGTTTTTGTATGCATTGTCCCTGTTAAACAAATAAAGATAAAGATAAAGGTAACACTGTCCTGTTCAGACATGTTGGTTGATGAGGTTTTGTTTAAATGCACACAGTCACCATCGATCAAGATCCCAACTATATGCATCAGAAATCATTTCTAGATCATCTATACCTAACTCTAGCAAAAAAGATTATTACCGTAGTTGCTGTATTCACTTCTGAACCGTTTCAGGTGATCACACACCAGCAAAGATGAATGTAAACTTCTTCACATTGTGTTTAATTTTTGAAGGGAACCAATAACAGCAAAAGTGAGCTGAGCACAACGACTTGGTCACACAAAACGTTAGGACCTGGCGACAGCACTCCAGATATTTTTTTTATTTTATATTTGATTGTTTTTAAATCAGTTTATGAAAACACTGTCTGTCCACACAATTCTAAAATAAATGCTGAAATTACCAAACTGTACCACAAGTAATGAGAGCATTCACATAAAAAACATTTAAAGACAGTGAAAGAACATTCTTCACTTGGCTAAAAAAATGCTGCTTTTCTGTGGTTTGGTTACTTGTATTTGCTGCCATGTCAACCTCTTGTTTTGAATGTTAATCAGCCTTAACAAATAGCAGTGTTAGCAGTGTTAAATATCAGTGGAACACCCCGGAGATGAGTCAGAAGACTGTAGGTTGTTTCTAAAATGARCATTGTGTTTCCACGTACCTGGACCAGCCTCCAAGACTCTGCAGTGATGGCAGCCTGGACTCTGTTGATAGCAAAGCCATCAATCTCTTTTCTCAGTCGGATTGGCACCTGGCCGACCTGAAACACGACAAATCAGACGTCAAGTAGAGAAACTASTCCAAAAAATATTAAAGCAACAAAACACAAAGTTAATGCCTCTTTTTACCTTCTCAAGTCAAACACTTGTTGAGAATAAACCAGTTCAAGCAGAAACAAAACACGTCTTTTTGGTCCACAAGGCCAACATCTCAGAACCAGAACCTCCACAACAACCTGATGTTCTTTGTCTAATCCGTTTCTTTTAACGATACTTTTTATTGCGTTCATGTGATTCTCTACATCTGAAGGTTATTCAAAGCCAGAAAAAAAAAAACGTCTCTGGGAGTCAAAATCAATTTTAGCAATCCTTGAAGAAATGYATWTCACCTGACACAATGCATATAGAGATTTGAACAAAGATCTGATGAAAYCTGTTAGCGCTCAGAGGTTGTGTTGTGAATGACTCAGTTTCTATGATTTTAGCTTAGTGTCTGTAAAATTGCCTGAGTTTGAGAGATTTGTAGTGTTTGATAAGGTTGAGTATCTGYTGCAGCTGTTTTCAACATGGGTCAACTTATTTTAGTCTTATTAAACTCCGTTCATAGATATTTTTCTAAATGACACACACACACATATTTCTATCCTTATTAGGACTGTAAATTCACTTCCATTATTTCTGTAGCCTAATCCTAAAGTATATTACAGGGCTATTCAACTGGCAGCCCGCGGGCCGGAGTGACCAAAGTTCGGCCCGCCAATTGGTTCATTCATCTCTTAAGCCCAAACCCCCGGTTTTCTACTTTAATTACTCTAAGTTCCTTTAGTTAAACATAGACATGTTTGGTATCTACAGAAACATCAGAAACTTGGCTACAAGCTGGTAAAAACCATTTCTATGCACACAGAAGATGTTAAAATATTTGTGATAAACATTTTATTTTTGTTTCTGATATTGTTTAATTATCACTACTTTTATAGGGTTCTGTATGTTGTAATCATGATTAAATACAGCAAAAAAAAAAAAAAACTATTTCAAAGGTAACAGATCTTTGTAATACTTGGTTTATTTACACAATAACTTTAACTGCTGTTCGGCTCCTGAGCTGTTGGTCTGCAGTAACTGTGGCCCGTGGAGCAGTTTAGTTGAATAACYCTGGTATATTAGGATCATTCTTTGGTCCCCAAAATGACAAGGAAGGTGTTTTATACTAGAAAAGGTCCTAAAAAGATAACAAAAACCAGGTATAYACACACCATGATAAGTACAACAATATTTTTATGAATATCACTTCATATATTTTGTTTAAAATTATTTTTTTTCTGAAGCCCGTTGTTAAAGGCAGTATGGCGGCTCAGCACCGACGCCTCACAGCAAGAAGGTCCTGGGTTCCATCCCGTTTGGACCTGAGGTCTTTCTGTGCGGAGGTTGCATGTTCTCTTTGTGCTTGGGTGGGTTTTCTCTGGGTACTCCAGTCCCCCAAACATCCCAAAAACATGTACAATAGGTTGCCTTAAGGCCCAGGCTGCCCTTGAAAAAGGGATGTGYGATCTCAATGGGATTTGTCTGGATAAATAAAGGTAAAAGGTGAAGTGTCTTGCCCAAGGACAGAGCAACTGAGACAGCTGGAACAAGGGACTGAACCAGCAACGTACCACTTCCAGGATGACGCCCCAGCCGCCCTGACACTATTATTTTTTATTTTATTTTGTACAATTGTTAAAATAAAAATTTCACATTTCTTTTTGCATTTTCAGAGGTTTTTGTTGGACTTCATGTTCCAACATGCTGGCAAACGTCATCACCCTGCATGTCCTGACATAAACTAGATCCAGACAGTTTAATCTGACGTCTTTACCTCAGTCATCAATGAGAAGGCAGTGTCCATAACTACGGCTGCTGTCTCTGGGTGAGGTACCAGCTCCACCAGTTTGACACAATAAGGTGGGTTTACCTGAAAAGAACAAGAGTGTTTYGTAATACGTTCTTACATTTGACTTAGTTTTAGGAGTGTTAAATAACGAAAAAGATCACCAACAAAACCAACATGTGGAAACACATTTAAATGTTATAAATCAAGTAAGATCAAAGGAAAACTTTAGATTTATAAAGTGAGTGAGGTGAAGATTTTGGGTGTTGTCATTGATGAAAAGCTGACATGGAAGTCCCACATAAATTATTTATGAATAAAAATAGCTAAATAAATTGCATTACTGTACAAAGTAAGGGAGTTATTGAATGATAAAACTTTGAATATATTGTATAATGCAATGATTGTTCTGCATTTTACTTACTGAACTAAAGTTTGGGGAAAAGCATGCAGAACTATTACAAATTCTATTTTTATTTTACAAATAGGAGCTATAAGAATTATTAGTAGAAAACATTATGGTCATCCATCAAATACATTGAAATTTTTGAAATTCAAAGATAGTTCTATTCATCCATCTTCTTCCACTTATCCAGGGTTGGGCCTCGGGGGCAGCAGCCTAAGCAGAGAGACCCAGACCTCCCTCTCTCCAGCCACTTGGACCAGMTCCTCTGGGGGAATCCCAAGGAGTTCCCAGGCAGCTGAGAAACATAGTACCTCCAGCGTGTCCTGGGTCTTCCTCTGGGTCTCCTCCCAGTGGGACGAACACCTCACCAGGGAGGCGTCCAGGAGGCATCCTAACCAGATGCCTGCATCATGATTTACGTGATTATAATATTTTACAGGTTAACATTTTACCTTTAAACACCAATTTTATTATGTTAAGACAGAGTTATTACAAGGAATGGAGATTTTTGTAAAACCTAAAATTTGAACCAGTTTGAAGGCACGGAGTACTTCAACACAGAGAATAAAACTGGAATAATCTTGAGAGACTGATGTTAAAACTGTTGGATCAATTTGTATGTTTAAAAGAATGATAAGGATTAGAAATGCATGTTTTTTATTGTGTGTATATATATTTTTTCTTTTAGTTTTTATTGAATGAGTAAAAAAAACATACAAAAAATAAAACATTTTCAAGTTTTAAATATCATTTCCAAGGGGTGATTCCTACATTTACAGTTTATTAGTTTGACAGTTGCTGATTAAATCAAATAAATGCATTAAAAGCAAACTAACCTCGCTGGTTGATGATGCATTAAAGATATTACTGAACAAATAAATCAAAAATCTGAGTCAAGCTACAACTAACCAAACAAAGCCAGTTTGAAGAGGTTGATGTGGTACAATAAAACTGTTGTAAATGTTTGAAGCGTTATAGATCATTTCATGTTGAGAAGAGTGGTGGAGCCAGACATTTTTATCAGGGGTGGTCAGACTGGGTCCACTACTCACACAGGGGCAGAGGTGTCAAGTAACTAAGTACAAATACCTTTTTACTTTACTTAAGTAGAAATTTTGGTTATTTATACTTTAGTGAAGTAAATATTTTTCAGCCTACTTTTTACTTCTACTTCTTACGTTTCAATTCAATTATCTGTACTTTCTACTCCTTACTTTTTGAAAATGCAAAAAGTATTTCATTTCTATTTCACTTTGACTTGTTTTTATTTTTATTCCATCTTTTCATTGTTCAGAAATAAATAAATAAATATACATCTATCCAGATACATGGAGCCCTTGGATAAAGTGAATTTGATTGTGGTTGGGCAAGAAG